TCGATCCCTCAGTGAAGGGGTCTGTGTAGTTGTGTACATGACAGCAGTTTCTCCCAGGGGACTCTGTGGCCTTAAGTATGACAAAAGACAGCTGTAGTTTTGTTTTCTTTAGCGTTAACAAGAGCTGTGCTCTCTGTGGCTGTGCAGAGCTCGGTTCTGAGCTCGTGCTCCCAGGACTCATAGAATCATAGAATATCCTCAGCTCCAAAGAACCCGTAAGGGTCATTGAGTCCAACTCCGAGATGACTTGTCAGCCTGTGGGAGCTTGCTAACATCATGTAAAGAAAGAAGAAACCCATGTTCTCTCAAATTCAAGAGTATAATTTGTTATACGAAAGAATGTAATTCGTTCTTTGCAGTTGAAGAATTACAAATTGTTTTATTGTAAAAGCATCTTCCTGAGCTTTTTTCAAGGAGTTGGTTGTACTTTCCTTAGTGTCAGTGAGTTGGTTTAAAACGTTTGATCTCATTGCTCCTGACATCCTGTTAAAACAGAGGTATCTTCCAAAGCTGACAACAGTTGTCTTGTTTCAGTTGTCTAAAGATTGCAGCTTCCTGGAATCTTGACAAATACATGTTCATGTACCAAGTATCTGATTTTAGTTTGATATTGCTAATGTAGTAATTCATCACTTCATGGTTGTTGATTTAAATTACCTTCCTTATAGATGAATGTTCCCCTTATGAAACTGTTAGGAGTGTTGGTTCTTAAAATCTAGCTCGATCCAACAGTAGTTCAAACCATATTTGTGGTGGGATCTCCTGGCTGCTCCCAGTCACTGGGCTGCTTCCATTTCTATGAGAGAAGGGATAAATCTCTCACTGTGGCTTCAAGAATAGGTATTTTAATTAATGCATATTAACCTAAGTGCCTTGAGTAAAGAGTGAATATGTTCCTGAGGTTATGGTTCTGTCTCGTGATAGGCTGTTTGATTCTGGAATTTACTCCAGCTGGTGATAGGTATCTCTGTAAAGAGTAACAAAACGAGGATTCTTCTACTGTCAAATTGAGTAGAGAAGAAATCTTACAGAAAAGCAGAAATTATAGTTTCACTGCAAGTTTCATTCACAGCAAGCTCCTTCAGTCAGATAGAAAGACTTATAAATCTACTTTCCTTTTGAAGGTTTCCTTTGAAGCTCATGAGTTTCTGATATTTTTCAATTGTGAGAGCTAATTTGACAAAATCAATGAAATGAGTACTTTCATTTCTGGGGCTGGATGATACCGAACGATCTGGTTGCACTGGCACTCCTTGCTCCCGGAGGACACGCTAGATCTTGTGCTGGTTTAATTGGCTGTGCTATTTCTTCTTTATCATTTCACATTCCCTGCAGCACCGTATGGAAGCACCAGTGCCTCCTTTGTCCGCTCTTGCTCAGTGTGAGAGGTCTGTGTGCTGCACTCAACCTTTGTCATCTTTTGGCTTATCTGGGCTGATGTTTTTCTGGTATTATCTAAATACGAGTTGATACCAGGTAACACTGGTGCAAGGAAGGCTTTATGGTATGTGTAAGGCTTGTGTCCTTTACTGTAGGGCCGATCTCAGCGTGGCTGTATGAGTGCCGGGTGCTCTGTGTGCCCAGCCCAAACCTGCAGTTCTGCAGTCGGCTGGACTGTTTCCAGCAGAGCTGTGGTGTTCCATTTGTGTAATTAATACAGCTCCTAAAAGATGACTGCACATCTTGATGGCAGGCTGCTAATGGCTCCAGAGAGCTCTCGCAGCACAACCTTATACGCTACTCCTCAGCTTTCGAAATAAATGCCCAGAGAAGCCTTTCTTGTCACTGCAGGATGACCTTCTAATAAAAGGTGCTTTTCTGCCACAGCTGTGATCTCACTTTCTGTCAATTATTTGTATTTTAGTCTAACCTTACAAACATGGAAACTGAAATGCTTTTTGGCACAGACGTGCTTAGTGCAATGTCATCTTGGCAGCAGCTGATCCTGCAAATAGCGGCAATGGAGTTTTGTCTTCAGCTCATCTTTGAAAAGATGGCACTGCTTGGATGGCAGGAAGGCATCTCCGGCTCCTGCAGGGCTTTAGGAGGCCTCACTGGGCTTCTCCTGCCTGGTCTGGGCTGAGCAAACTCACAGCTGTTCCCCTCCATCCCAACTTCCAGCCCGTTGTTGCTGCACCCTTCTGCTGTGTCCCCTTGGTTGCTTGCACTGATGAGGCCAAAAACCTGTGGTCTTCTCAGGATTATAAACTGCCACTGCTGCTTTGTTTTCTTCCTTCTTTGCCTGTTTCATATCAGTGCGAAAGCAGAAGTTTTAGTAAATAAAACTTATTTTCAGATGCGCCTTGCAATAATTCATGGAATCATTAGGGATGGAAAAGACCTCTAAGATCACCAAGTGCAACCCCAACCCGTGCCACATCTCCGTGGCTCTGAGCACCTCCAGGGATGCTGACCCTCCCACTCCATGGGCAGCCTGACCCATCACCTCTCTTTCTGAGAAGAAATCTTTCCTGATATCCATGCTGAACCTCCCCTGATGCAACTTGAGTCCATCACCTCTTGTCCCATCCTGACACAAATATTGCAGCTATGGGTAAAACATGAACATGGGGAACCGAGAGTGATTAAGTCACACAGTTATTCTCTGGTATGAAACAACAGTTGTAAAGAAACTGTCTAATCCAAAGTCACTTGTGTGGGGCATTTGCTTTCAGATTCTCCTGTGTGCTAACAGTTGTTTTGTAAGTGTGCAGTGCAGGCTTAATGTAGATGGCTTTTTCATCTAGGAAACCCAAATTAAATTTGAGACCTAAGCTGGCACTTGGTAAGCTGTGTATGGATTAGCCTGGGTCATTAGGAATTCATTTATTTTGATAAGCTTTGTCAGTGCTAAACACTGCCACGATTGGCTGTAGCATTGACTAACCTCTGCTTTATGCTGGCTGGGCTGCCGGGATGCAAGTGGTGTATGTACTTAGCTCTAAATAAATGTTTTATCACTTAGCTGTAATTGGATTGCTATTGTATTTCAGTAATTATTCCCAATAGCAAATCTGTTCTCTCCTTCGCAGACATTTCGTGACTGACCTTCACGCAGTCTCTGTCTTAAGACGTCTTTCTTGATCTAGTCCTGCACAAGTTATTTTTTGTTGGGGGTGGATTTTCTGTTTTTGTTTTTAAAGGGGAATTAATGCTAGGATAGGTGAGATGTGTTCCCTTTAGCATGTCTGCAGACAAATAACTTGCTATGTATTCAATGGCTGAACAAAGAATTGGTACGCTTGTCTGAGGCTCAGACGTCTTGCCAGGGGAGTTCTGGATCACTGAATGGCAATTTTATGCTCAGGAGTGATATTCTGTGATTAAATCTTAATGGATTTCCGGAGGAGGTAATTTTTTTTTTTTGAGAGGAAAGCAGTGCTGAGTTGCTTGCAGCCTGGCACCTCTTTTGTGACAGTCCTGTCTGCACACCCTGGTGTGCTGTGTGCAGACCCAGCGAGCCGTTCCAAGGACGGCTCTGTTTTCTCTGTGTACTTCTGGGACTCTGAAGAGCTGGTTGGGTGCCTGCCAGGCAGATGGGTTTACTTCAACTGAATGGCATCTGGCAGTGAACCTGTTCTCACAGTCTGGAGTTGTGCACGTGCTCGGCAGTTCTGCTGCCTGCTTCTGTTAACTCTGGTCCTCAGACCCCCAGTCCTGCTTTCTGAAAGTCACGGTTTCTGCATTGGCTAAAAATAAGTTTTAAATAGGTGGACCTATTCTCCTAAGAACAACATTTTACTGCAACAAAAACACTTGCTATTGTCACACCTCACACGCTCACGGGTTTTTATGAGGCGTTTTATTGTGAAGAGGAGCATAATGGCATTAAGTTCTGAGTAGTTTTAACTGCATGTTTGGTGCTGGAGGCATGTTGCTTGATGGCTTGCTAGGCTCATTTGATGTAATGGTGTACTGAGGCGATAGGAATAGGGGTTCAGATTGTATGAAGGCTGGAGGAAGTGGGAGAAGTGCTCGTATCCATGATCTGATCAACTGTATGACATCCCTGGTTACCCAGTGGGACTACAATTGTGCAGGTTCATTGCTCTTAATGGTCAGCAGTCTTCTTCCTTTTGTTGCTTCTGCTTGTTCTAAAGGATGATTTAGAAAGGCTAGAGCAAAGTGAACCTCGTTCTGGGACGTTGTGCTCATGGCTGTCTGCTGTGCTGCCCTGTGGGTGAATGCATTTCCCTGTTACGGTGCTTGGGAGGCTGCTCTTCCAAAAAAATGTATTCAGGCATTTACTGAGACTGTTCTGTTTCCCTTTGTTTCCTTACCTATTTGTTACTGACCCAAGTTTCTTGAATGTGGTCTGAACTTGGACAGTTAATTTATATGCATGGCTTGTTCAAATAATCCAGTAAGTGCAGGGGAATTAACTTTAAAAAAACAAAAGCAAAACCAACGAAGCAGGACAGTTAACTTGATACTGACTGTATCTAAAAAGAAACCTACTTATCAAATTAACGAATACTTTCTACCCAAGAAATCTAGAACTTAACTTCTCCTACCCAAGACATACTGGGACCTGTTTGTGAGGCAGATGTGGCAAGGCTTGCTTTTGTACTGCTCCATTCATAGATATAAATGTGGGTTGGTTCTTGGAAAATAATGCTGTTCAGTTTTGGCATGTGAGTATTTGCAGCCTGCAGCCTGGCTGGGATGTTGAACTGCAGCAGTAGGTGGCAGCTTCCTTGCAGCATTCAGTGTGCAGAGCTTGGTTACCTGGTGGCATGGTTTGAGGGACAGATTGCAGCTGTAGGGCCCAAAGTTCCAGCGCTGTCATCACGTGTGTGGTGGACCTTGAGCTTCCCTTCTGCATTTCTGGATGGTTCAGAATAGCTTTCTATCTGAACAGCTGCTGAAAAATAGTACTTCAGCAGCACTGTGTGATTTAGTGTGTGCTAAAAAAATGAACTCGCTTTTGGGTGCCATACAAGGCAGCATAACTGAAAGTATATTTTTAAAACTACTGTGCTTTTTTTTGCTATTTCCAGGGAGGGATGAAACAATGCAGCCAGCCAGACCATCATTCCTGGAATATTTTGAGCAGAAAGCAAAGGAGAATCAAGTCAATAGCTTTGGGAAGAATGTATCTGGCCAGACAAAAAACTCATCTGATTGGAAAGTACCACAGGATGGAGACTACGAGTTTGTAAGTCTATACTATGAAATTCAATCAATGTGACAATCTTTAAGAATTTTAGTGAGAGCTTCTGTGATGTTACTTCTTGTTTTGACAGACTAATGGGAAACCTGAGCAGTTTGTAATTGCCAGTGCATTTGGGTGGGTCATTTTGAAAAATTCATTTTCTATAGGTATTTCTCAGTTATCGTAATCAGCCATTATCTGTTTACTTTTCTTGCTAAAGAACAAACAGGAAAAAGAAAAGCCTGAAGACATTAAGGTAGAAACTTTGATGCCTTCATTCCTCTTCATTTAAAATAAAGTAGAAAAATAGGATTCAGGATGGTAGTTGGAAAATGTAAATCCTGAATGCAGAGTGTTTGACAAACAAACAAACAAATGCAGCCACAGTGTTACAACCATTGAATTTCCTTGCTTTTCTCAAGCTTCAGTGGTAGATTTTGGGTTACGATGTGAACATCAAGCTAATCTTCTTTTTTCTTACAAATCTGCAGTTTCATTCTGATCACTCGTACCATAGGTTTTCAGGAAGTTTTCAGAAGTCAGAAGAAAGTTCTGCGTTGCATTATTTATAAGCTTTATGAGGGAAGCATTCTGATGTGAGCTAAAAGGCCAGAAGAAACGTGCTGTGCTGAGCACCACTCCCCACACCGTGTTTCCTTTCAGCACTTCAGTGCAAGCCCTCCTTGCTCTGTGTGCATTGCACACCCTCACAGCCGTGCTGCTACCTCCTGTGATTCAGGTTGTCACGCTGCACTCAGCCCTTGGTGAGCTTCACTCCACCTTCACAAAGCTGTGCAGGAGGCAAACTCCTCTGCTCGTCACGACGCAAGGCAGCAGAGGAGATGCTTCACTTTGTGCCTTGAGCAGCAGCAGGAGCCCTTCGTTCTGGTTGTACAGATGGGCAGGCTGTTGTTGTTATGTATGTTCTGTAGTTCTTGCTGCTGCATCTCTGCTTTTGTTATTAGACTGGGAAGAGCAGCTGGCAGAGGGGACCTGCTGCACTCTTTCTCTGTAGTCCTTTGCTCTACGTCACGCATAGCCTGAAGGCTCAAACTGACTGCGTGGACATGCTTTGCAAAAATAACCTGCAAGCTGCCTTGTCAGCCTGTGTATGGCAGGGGCCGAGCGCGCGACTCCGGTCTCGCGAGGTGCCCGGTATGTCTCATTAACTTCACTTTCTGTAACTTAATTTCATGATAAACAATAATTTTTTGATGTGTGGCATTTCCCAGGAAAGACAGCGTCTTACAATTTTTTTGTGGTCTGCAGAAGATATGGCCCAAGGGAAAATGTGCTGTGACTGTTTTGTCTTTCTAATTTGGGTGATATTCAGCAGTTGCCCTTGTTTCCAGCAAGAAGGATATGCTCTACCCAGCACCCAGTGAGCTGTAGGTGCAGGCTATAGGATGTGCAAAGCAGCTGTTTGACACAAATATGACCTTGTTTACTCATTTCCATTAGTGCTGAAGTATTGCCACGTGCATAGATTACCAGTGTGCTGTGAGCAATAAAAGCAGACCATAAACTGTAGGAATAAATCAGGCCTTGGGTCACCTTCATGTCATAATTTGTAGGCAGCTGTGTGTATTTCTCTGGTTTGACTATGAACGTGCCGGCCTGTCCTGCATGCAGATCTTGTAATGGAGCTGCCTTCACACCTCATTGCTTCCTTTTTTTGTAGAAGGAAAAACACTTAAAAGCAACCTTATTTAATACACACAGGGTTTAAATGGTCCTTCTCTGGGCTGTGGAAGTGATGACCCCATGGTGGAACCTCATTCAAGACTTAAAACTGAGCAATTTCTCCTGTTTGGCTAAAAGGGATCCGTGTGATGGCTAGCAGTGGGTAAAAATCATGTTTATTAACACTTAGTAATTGAAAGCATCAATGCAATAAGCTTTGCAGAATAAGAAGGAATACAGTCATTAGGTGCTTCAGGTCTGTCCTGGACTTGACTGCAGCTGTAACTTATTTCTGCACTGCCAAGGAAAATAGGTTTGTGCATTGTGTAGAGAGTTTGCAGGATTCCAAGCAGACGAGATCAGTGAGGTGCTCAGTGTGTGTGAGTGCCTCCAGAGCCTCAGGAAACAATTGAAATATTACTGCTTTGTGCTGCTGCAGCCTAGACAAATACGCCTTGTCTTTTGTTCTGAGTTCCCCTCCTTCCTCTATGAGTGACACCTGGGGTCTCCGGTCTTTAAAAAAAAGAAAAAAGAAAAAAGGAAAAAATGGACAATATCAAATTACTGAAGATTTTTCTGTTTTCCATTGTGATAAAACCATTTGACCTTTTGACTAAAATTGTTGCTCTGAAGCAGGCAAATAAGAAGCTATTTATATCACAAGGCAACGTCATGTTAGATAAGAGTTGGATCAAGCCCTGTGTGCTGTACAGCAGAAAACCCAAAGGTCCTGTTCTGAAAGGTGATGAACTGTGTTACCCCAAAATACGGTGCTCTAACCATGCCCTGCTTTTCTTCTAAGTTGGCATCAGCTGGGTGTATTGCAGCCTCAGATTTCTGAGGTTGAAACTGGGGATGAGCTGATGCCCGGTGTTGTTATTGCTTCTCCCCACTCAGGGATCAACAAGGATCTCTAAAGATTTTAGCCCTGCTTGATTGCAAGAAATGTTTTTGAAAACATGGTGATTTTTACCATGGACAAAAGTTCTGATGATGGGCAGGACTTCCTGCTGTGAGAAGGAACACAGGAATAAGCTCCAGTCTGAAGGTGCTGCAGGGTGGGCTGCTGATGGGCAGGCTGCGTTGTGCGTGCAATTCCAAACTGCCATAGTCACACCTCAGCATTTTTGATGTTGAATTTCATTTTGCCAGGGCACATTAGTCACATGTATTATAAATTAATAATGCTCCAAGATTTGTTTAGACAGTGTCACACAGGTTTTTTTCCATTCTAATCTTTCAGTGGTACCACAGTGCAGCAGAATTAATTGTGTGCTGTTTCCTACTCCTAACCACTCCTGAAGGGTTATTTATTCCTAGTTTTAACTGCTCTGAGCAGACCAGTATTGCAGTGTCACTTGTGACTAAAGGGGGATCATTTACTATTATTATTACCATTCATTCTAATATTGACCTGCTCAAAAGACCCTCCTTCTGTTCAACCCTGCTATAGCAGGTTCTTATGGATCATTCAGGCACTATAGCACCAATCACTTTGTTGGAAGTCTGTTTCATTAGGAAGTTATGGTTACAGCCATTCATGTTTTATGGGTCCTGTGACAATCCTGAAACCTTTTTGGTTCCATTTAATGATCCCAATTTCACTGGGGAGAATAAGCAGTGAGTGCCCCATCAGTCCTCAATGCTGTCATCCAGATGTGACTTCTTGAAGGGAGCATATAAAGAGGAGGGGAAATGGGTGTTCATGAGGGTGGATAGTGATAGGACAAGGGGAAATGGTTTTAAACTGAGACAGGGGAGGTTCAGGTTAAATATTAGGAGGAATTTTTTCACACAGAGGGTGGTGATGCACTGGAACAGGTTGCCCAAGGAAGTTGTGGATGCCCCATCCCTGGAGGCATTCAAGATGTGGCTCTGGGCAGCCTGGTCTGGTGGTTGGTGACCCTGCACACAGCAGGGGGTTGGAACTGGATGATCGTTGTGGTCCTTTTCAACCCAGGCCATTCTGGGTTATTGTTTATGTGTAATGCACTAGAGTGAGAGCACAGCATGCATCACATCATTCCGCAGGCTTTACAGCAGATGTTTGCTCCAAGGCTTTAGATTCCATCACCTGTGTTATGGGTGCAGCCTGTAAGGCAGTCTGTCAAGAGCTGCCCTGGTGCAGGTGCCCCTGCCAGGGGCTGCCTGGAGCAGGAGGCTGAGCTGGGAATGCGGAGCTGTGGACACCAGAGGGTGAACAACAAACACCTTTCACATTTGGGGTTGTGCTTTGCTCAGACACAAAGCATTACTCTTTTGGGGTAACTGTCTGGGAAGCTGTCAAGGAAGTGTAACTCTTTTTTTTTTTTTTTTAATAAAGTACATTTTCTGGAGATGTATTCACATCTCTTGGAGCTCTCGTATTATCTGCACTGCAAGAGCTGGTGTCCCAACTACAGCCTCTTCTATGTAATTTTGTAGGCTTCAGATTCGGAAGGCGTTACATCTATTTCTATTTACCTGATAGAAGACTATGATTTTTGTGTCTCTGTTTAAGCTGGTTCTAGGCAGAGCTATTGCTTACATCTTCTTACAAGTATAACAAATGAAAGCATCCTCTTCCTAAATGAGGAAATAATTCTATTTGCTAAAGTAATAAAGAAAACTTAAATTTTTCTGTGTATTGAGGTAGTGTGCCATTACACTGCTCTTATATGGTATACGCTGTTTTTTAACAACATCCTCTTTTCTGCCCTTCTGGTTAACATGAAACGTTACATTGGAAACACTGATAAAAAGACAGAAACTGGTCTTTACCAGCAGAAAAGCATACTAGTGTCTCATAAGTGTTCTTCAGCTTGTTCCATTGCACATCGGGCTGTTGGTTGGTGATACAGTCATAGAATCAATCATAGGGTCATAGGATGGTTTGGGTTGGAAGGGGCCTTTAAGATCATCTATTTCCAACTCCTCTGCTACAGACAGGAGCACCTCTCTGTGGATCACGTTGCTCACAGCCCCACTAAGGAAAAACCTTTCCTTCCAGTTTAAAGGAATGACTTAATGCTGAGTCGGCAAGAGCATGTGATTCTTACAGAAAAGTGTATAGGAAGTGTAATTCTTTCAAAAGCAAATCAAATCACAGAAGGATCATGACGTATTGATCAGACTGATACCAGCCTAGAGATGCCTGCAGATCAGGATCTCCATCTGCACATCAGGGATGGTGCAGCAGGAAGGGTGCTGGCCACGATGGCTCAGTGTGGGCTGCAGTCATAAGCCAGAGAGGTGCAGCAGCTGCTGTGAACCAAGCTCTGTACTCCGCTCAGCCCTGCTATGAATTGCTGCTGAGAACTCAGAGCTGGGGCTCATGCATC